GTTCAGTTTAGTGTTCTGAGGTTCAGTTTAGGGTTTAGTTTGGGGTCCTGAGGTTCAGTTTAGGGTTTAGTTTGGGGGTCTGAAGTTCAGCTTAGGGTTTCGTTTGGGGGTTTGAGGTTTAGGTCAGGCATTAGTTTGGGGTTCTGAGGTTCAGTTCAGGCTTTAGTTTGGAGGTTTGAGGTTCAGTTTAGTGTTCTGAGGTTCAGTTTAGGGTTTAGTTTGGGGTCCTGAGGTTCAGTTTAGGGTTTAGTTTGGGGTCCTGAGGTTCAGTTTAGGGTTTAGTTTGGGTTTTAGTTTGGGGTTTTACAGAGTTCCTGCAGGTTTCTTCCTTTGCCTCTCAGGGGACAGAGCTAACACTGAAATCGCCCCAAAAATCAACATTGATCCAGGTTTTCCTGCAATTCCAAAGCCCCTTGGAGCCCAGGGGTGGCTGTTGATGCCCAGGATTGGGGTTGGTGGCACCCTGAGGACAATCCCCATGGATTTCACCCCCTGTCACTAATTAAAGGAGTTTAATGAGCAGCTCTGCTGGGCCCATCTCACACCCACAGCCGGACTTTCTTGGGGGGTAATTCCCAAGGGAAAACTTCCCAGGAAGCAACACCTTGGCCAGCACCTCCAAGAGCCAGAGGAGGGGCGGGCACCACCCGGCTGGACCAACTTCCCGTGGGCAGGAAGGAGGAAAAAACCCCCAAATCCGGGAGAATTTGGTTCAAAGCAGCCACTGGGAAGTCGTGGATGGAGCCGGAGGAGGGAGATGGGATCCGGGAGCGGAGTTTAGGGATGAGGAGCTGGGAGAGAGGGTTGTGTGGGTCTCTTCCACCCCCAAATCCCACCTGAAGCCCTTCCTGATGTGTCAGGCCAGGAGGCACCTGCACCCCAAAAAAGGGCACCCCCGATATTCCATTGGGGAATAACGATGGGGAAGAAAACTGATGGGAAACAGACCCCAAAATTAACATTTATCCAGGTTTTCTTACAACTCCAAAGCCTCTTCCAGCCCAGGGATGGGTGTTGATGCCCAGGGGATGGCAGGGATTGGGGTTGGTGGCAGCCTGAGGACAATCCCCATGGATTTCACCCCCCCCAGCACTAATTAATTATTGTAGACCCATTATTAATTATTCTGCTGGCTCCAAGGGGACAAAACTAATGGGAAACACATGGAAATAGCCCCAAAATTAATATTTATCCAGGTTTTCTTGTAACTCTAAAGCGTCTTTGAGCCCAGCAGTGGGTGGTGATGCCCAGGGGATGGTCCCTGGTTCCCATGGATCCCACGGGAACACCAGACCGGTGCCGTGGATCCCACAGGGACACCAAACCGGCCCCGTGGAATCCACAGGGACACCAAACCGACCCCATGGAATCCACAGGGACACCAAATGGCCCCATGGATCCCACGGGGACACCAAACCGGCCCCGTGGATCCCACAGGGACACCAAACCAGCATCCTGGATTCCATGGGAACACCAAACCCGCCCCCTGCATCCACCCCTGGCACCCCCCAGCCTCACCTTCCGAGTGCTGCCGCTCTTGGGGCCGTGCAGGAGGACGAGGCCACCGTCCCTGTCCCCTTTCCTGGGGCCATCCAGGTTCTCCTCCTCGGGGGGCATCATTTCCAGGGATGCAGCATCCACAGGGTGGGGAGGAGTGGGCCCACAGCTGGGGGCTCCTTTTCACCCCACACGGTGGTTTGGGGGCTCCTCTTCACCCCACAGGGTGGGTTGGGGGCTCAATGACCTTTCCTTGGGCTGCTCTGGTTGTCCTGGACTAGCCCCCAGTCCCGTCCTAGGTTTAGGAGGGGGCTTAAACCCCCTCTAACCCCTGCTCTGTTATTTTGGAAAGCCCTCTGCACTTCACATCTGGCCAGATGTGAGCACCCAGCCCCTACAGAGATATCCCAGGGAAAGGGGGGGGACACAAACCCCACAGACCCTCCTTTTTAAAGCTACCCCAGATGAGGTGGGGGGGAAGTTAAACCCCCCCAAACTCCCCTTGCAGAGCTACCCCAAATATGGGGTTAAACTCCTCTTCCAAGAGTTGCCCTAATTATGGGGGGGATTAAACTCCTCTTGCAAGAGCTGCCCTAAATATGGGGGGGGATTTTAAACTCCTCTTGCAAGAGCTGCCCTAAATAGGGGGGGGATGTTTAAACCTCTCCGAACCCCCTTGTAGAGCTACCCTAAATAGGGGGGGAGTGTTTAAACTCCCAAAACCTCGCCTTTCAGACCTACCCCAGATCGGGGGAACCCCCAAAACCCCCCTAAATGAAGGGAGAGGGTTCAAACCCCCACTAACTCCCCTTTCAGAGCTATCCCAGCTCGGGAGGGGGGTTAAAATCTCCCAAACCCCCCTTATAGAACTGCCCTAAATGGGAGGGGGATGTTAAACCCCCTCAATCCCCCCCCAAACCCCCCTAGGGGGAGAAGGTTCAAACCCCCAATAACTCCTTTTTCAGAGCTTCCCCAGCTGCGGTGCGAGGGTTAAACCCCTCTCCCCTTGCAGGGCGACCCCAAAAAAAGGAGGTGTTTAAACGCCCAAGAACTTCCCTTACAGAGCTACCCCAGCTGCGGAGGGGGGTTAAACCCCCCCAAAACCCACCTTGCAGAGCTCTCTACAGGGGTTAAACCCCTTCCCCTTACAGAACCACCCCAAAAGGAGGGTGGGAACCCCCCAAACCCCCCCTTTCTAGAGATGCTCCAGCCACGGGGACCCCCCCAAACTCCTTTAAAGAGCCAAACCCCGCCGCCCTACAAACCCTTCTACGTTAATATCCCACCTCGGACGACCCCAAACTCCCGGCTCGGTGTCCTCGCTCAGCCCCAGAGCCCCCGCCCGGCCCCGCCGATCCCAAATCCCGGCGCGATCCCAGAGGCGGCTCCCTCGCGGCGCGGGGGATAAGCGGGGCGGGGGGGCGGGGCGTAACCCCCGTCAGCCAATGGAAAAGCGGGACGGCGCTGATGGACGGCGGCATCGCCCAATGGGAGCGCGGCGAGGGCGGGACCGGAGGGGCCGTTGCCCCCGGCAACGGGGGGAATTAGAACGCGGGTGACGTCACCGGAGGCGGGGGTTGAGGCCACGCCCACGGGCGGGCACAGACGGGAGCGGCCCCGCCCCCGCGGAACATCTGGGGGGGGCGTCGGGGCCCAACCCCACCGGCCACATCTGGATGAGCCCAATTACAACCGGGAGCACTCCCCCGTCTCGGCCACGTCTGGATCTGGGCTCCGCTTCTGCCCCCTGAGTAACAGCTGGGAACGGGTTCGCTCCCACCCCGGCCACATCTGGATGACCCCCCCACACAACCAGGTGCCCCCCTCACCATCCCAAACACATCCGGACGACCCCCACCTACAACAAGAGCACCTCCTCACATCTGGGTGCCTCTCCCACCTCCCGTGCCACATCTGGGCGAGTGTCCATTTAACCCCGGACACATCTGGATGACCCCCCCACAACCAAGTGCCCCCCTCACCATCCCAAACACATCTGGGTGCCCGTCCTGCTCCACAACCCACACCTGGGCACGTGTCCGATCCCATCTCGGGCACATCTGGATGATCCCATCTGCAACCAGGAGCCGCCCCCCGACCACATCTGGGTGCCCCTCCCACCTCCCTTATCACATCTGGGTGCATATTTGATCCCACCCCGAGCACATCTGGATGAACCCCCCTACAATCAGGTGTCCCCCTAGCCATCCCAAACACATCTGGGTGCCCCTCCCACCTCCCGTGCCACGTCTGGGCAAATGTCCGCTCCTATCCCGGACACATCTGGACGACCCCACCCACAACCAGGAGCCGCCCCCCGACCACATCTGGGTGCCCCTCCCACCTCCCTTATCACATCTGGGTGCGCATTCGATCCCACCCCAGGCACATCTGGATTACCCCAACTACAACCAGGTGCCCCCCTCACCATCCCCACCACATCTGGGCAGCCCTCTCACCTCCAGTGCCACATCTGGATGAGTGTCCACTCCTAGGCTGGACACATCTGGATGACTCCACCTCCAACCCGGAGCAGTTCGGCAACATCTGGGCCAGCTGTGCCCTTGCCCTGCTAAAGCCACCAGGGGTTTCTCCTGTACAAACCACGTCATAATATGAAATATAATTAAAAAATGCGTGAAGAAATAAAATTAAATCTATTTTATTCCTTTTTCCAGCCAAATCCAGGCCAGTCCTGCCCTGTTTCCCCCCTCTGAGCTGTTGTCCCTCCAAAAAGGTCCCTAAGTCATTACCTGGGCCTTAATTAAGTTAATGAGCCCAAGCTTGTGCGGGATGAATCCCATTGAATTCCAGGCACATCCAGCTCTATAACGATGGAGAAAAATTAGCCTGGCATTAAGCCTTTTATATTTATCATTTATATGTATTTGTATTTTTATTTCACATATTTTTATATAATTTATGTGTAGTTTATATTTATTATTTATATTTAATATATTTTTAATTTATAAATAATTTATATTTATTATTCATATTTATTTTATAATTGTCTGAATACATTAAACTGAATTCCACCTTTCCCAGTCATTTTTTCCTCACTGGGGCTTCAAGGACTGTGTGATCCCAAAGAAAGGAATATATTAGGAAGGGTTTTCTCTCTCTCCTGTATTTCCCAATCCAGAAGGAGCTGCTGGACCAGAAAGGTGGAATTATTGATTAGGAAATCCTGGGATTTTGGCACTGATACATCCCTAAACTGCTCATTGTGGTGCCACCAAACTGTGCAGAGACCCCATTCCAGTCTGGTTTTCCCCAGGGATGATCCAGCCCCACTTTGTGGTCCACGTTCTCTGGATGGAGCCATCCTGCTTCCATTCCCCCGATTCCAAAGGGAAAATCCATCAAAATATATAAAATTCATCTTAATGATCAAGAGCTTTGCCCCAAGTCGTGCTTGGGTTGGAGGACGAGCACCTGGAGCTGATCCAGGTCAGGACAAGCTTTTCCCAGCTCACCCACCCTGTAAATCCCACTTTTTCCCATCATGGAGATCTCAGGCTTGGGAGAAACCTTCTCCAAGCTGAACAAATCTTATGGAATCCATGGAAAATGGAAGCAAATTTAATATAAGCCAGTCCCTGGGTTGGAAGGAGGCGGCCGAGGGCGAACAAGCCCCGGCACGAAGTCGTCCTTCCCTGCTCCCTCTCCCATCCCTTCCCAACCTTTCTCATCCAGCAGGAAAGGTGGCTTGGATGCATTTTTCCTGGGGTGGTGCAACAGGGATCAAAGAGGCTTTCCCAGAGCCAGCCCTGCCTCCGGGACTTTCCGCTCCCGGCTCCTTCCCAAGGGAACTCATGGCCCCGCTACTCGTCCTGAATGGGGATCTCAGCAGGGAGCCATAGCTCTTACTGACCCCAGATCCAGCTTTTTCCTGGAATTATAGGATGGTTTGGGTTGAAATGGGCTGTGAAGATCCCTCTGTCTTGCAGAGGTTTTTATGGAATGCCCCAGGGAATGAGGTTGCTCCCAGTCCAGGGCCACCAAAGCTCAGCCTGAGCGGAGATGATTCCCATTGTGCCAGGAGAGGTTGGGATGGATGGAATGAGCCTCTGAAAGACCCCTGGATAAAATAAACCCCGTTTGGGAAGGCACAAGGCTGGGAAGCTGAAGAGGATGGAGATTCCAAGCCTGGGCAAAGCATGGGCAGATCCCTCCAGGAATCATGGAATGGCTTGAGTTGGAAGGGACCTTCAAGATCATCTCATTCCAACCCCCTGCCATGGGCAGGGACACCTTCCACTAGCCCAGGTTGCTCCAAGCCCCATCCAGCCTGGGCTTGGACACTTCCAGGGCTGGGGCAGCCACAGCTTCTCTGGGAATTCCATTCCAGCCCTCACCGCCCTCCCAGGGAAGAATTCCTTCCCAATATCCCATCTAACCCTCCCCTCTGTCAGTTTAAAGCCATTCCCTGTGTCCTGTCCCTCCCCTCCCTGTCCCAAGTCCCTCTCCAGCTCTCCTGGAGCCCCTTTAGGCCCTGGAAGAGGCTCTCAGGTCTCCCTGGATCCTTCTCTTCTCCAGGCTGAACATTCCCAATTTGGGAAAAGCTTTGCTGTGTCCCTGTTGTCCCTGTGCCCCAACCCCTGTTGTCCCTCTGCTCCATCCCCTTCCCAGGTGTTCTCTCGACCAGCCTGAGGATGGATGAGACCATTCCATGCTCAGCTGCAACGAGGTTCCTGATGACCCCCACGGGCAGGTGGAAGCAATGGACTCATCCCATGAATAGGGCTGGAGAGGAGCCCTGGGAAGGGCTTCAGGATGAGGGTTGGAGGCACCAGGAATCACTGTCCTATGGGATCTGGGCTCTGGACCCACCGTTTGGGCTCTGAGACCCCTCTAAATCCAACCTGATGGATGAAAAGCAGCTGGATTTGGGGATAATTTAATTCTGTGATTGAAGAGGGGGGGATCTCCCGCAAGGTGGGTTTTCCTAAATTGTTTTTAAATCCATATATTTGGCCCCATCCTCCACCTGAGGGGTGCAAAGTAGTCCCCCCTCGGGGTCTCCTCGCTGTTGCTTAAGGGGCTCTCTCCAAATTTGGGGCTAAAACTTCCTTTCCCAGGGTGCATTTTGGGCTGGGAACCTCCCATCAGGCTCGGGGGGGGGGGCTTTAAGTAAACTTCCTGGAGGAGGGAGTTTCCCTCGGGAAGGTGACTGGGTGAAGTCTCCTCTTCTCTGGGTGGGTTTGGGGGAAGAACTTGGTCCCACCAGCAGCTCTGGGTGCTCCCGGTACAACAAAGTGTGGGAAAACATGGAAGTTTTCCAAGTGTTTTCTACTCCTCGAAAAGTTCAGCTGATGTTTCCTGGTGCTTTGGTTCTTCTTTCCTTGAGAAATCCCATTTTTTTCTCAGCTGGGGAGGTTTTTCATGGATTGGGACCACCTGGGTGTTTAATATGAGCCTTACTTCCTCCATCCTCTGAGTTTCCATGGGGAGCAGGGATTTGGGAGGGTCTGGATGTTGCAGCCACCAGGAAAGGGAGGTGAGAGCTGAGGGGTCTCTCTGCTCTGCTGAATTATTTTCCAGTGTGGTGGGAGCTGGGAATTCCTCCCGAAATTCATGATTTGGGGGGATTTCCCTTGCCTTTTTTTTTTCTTTTTTCTTTTTTTTTAGCAGGAATTTTATTTTTCCCACCTCCCAGAGCAGCTCAGGGGCTGGACTCAAGGATTTGCTGTTTCTTGGTCTCTTTGGGTCCTTGTTAAACCTGAGCTTGACCTTTTGGGGTTGAGCTCTTGGTTTTCTCTGGTAGAAAATTTGGGATTCTACCAGCCCCGGGGTTTCTCCCTGTTGTTGCAGTGACATCCTTGAGGACTCTGCCTTAACATTCCCAAGAACTGCTGGATGAGGGAGCCATGGGAGTCTCAAGGGATAGTGGGATGAAAAAGAGCAGCAGGTGGGTCCTGTGGGGCGTGGCAGGGGATTTTGGGGGGCTCCAGCATTACATGAGCACTCTGGATTTCCTGGGAATTTCAGGCCTTAAGGGATCAAGCAGGAAAAATCCCTCTAAATTTCCTTTGGGGAGCCCTTTTTTGGTGCTTCTGGAAATCAGGGTTGGGCAGTGTGGGATCACACCATGGGTTATTTTCCCCACTAAGGGGTTTGCTGTGGGTATTCCCTGCTTGTCTTCAGTGGGATCAGTTTTTCCTTGTCCCCAGGAAGCGAAAGAAGGAGTTGGAGAAAGGGCTGGAGGTGCCAAAGGAGCTCAGGACAAAGATTGGGAAGAAGGAGCCGGAATGTTCAGTGCAGGTACCTCTTTCTCCCTGCTGGGGTGACCTTGGTGACTGTCCCAAAAGTTTTATGGATGGGGAAAAAAAAACAAACCAAAACAACCCTATGGCATGAACTTCCTTCTCCCTCATGCTGCTCCATCCTGGTGCAAAGTTCCCTGTAGGAAAAGGGGGAAAA